TTTATTGGTATTTAAGCTCATATAAGTTCTAACATCAAAATTTGTAAGACGTGTTAAGAGAACACAGTTACATTATGTTACATAAATACAGGCAGCAGATACAAATCCATTTTCTCTCTTCTCTGAAACGCAGCTACATGGGATGTGGAAATATTTTTTTATCAAGTAGATAATCTGTTTTATCAATAGCTAGTAAGCCATTTTTGTAAATTGTCAGCTGAAAAAACAAAACACTACTTACATCATATTGGAAAAGGAATGACCTCAAGATTTCCAAGCAACACAGCTATTTTTCACATCTGAACTCCCCTGCTGATCATTAGGAGTGGTTTCAAATGTCCCATTCTTGGCCTTTGGTTGTGCCAAACCCTGGACAAGTCCTCAACAAAGTTAGTTGCAAAATATCGGTTATTTCTGCATCGGGGTGCTCCGTCTCAACTGTCTGCCCTCCCTTTTCCTCAGCACACCGTCACTCACAGTAGTGTGAAGTCTCTCCTGAATCAAACTGTGTTTATATTACATAAAGGAAGTGTGAAATCAGAGTTGTCTTGCTTCTATCTCCTGCAGACTAATCAACTACCTCCAATTCATCATTCTGTTCTGTGCTTAGAAACAATGTGGTCCGAACTCTGTGCTCAGTCAAGGTGTGGCAGGCATGAGGCAGAGGTGAATTGGGCCCAAAAGGGCTCGGTGCTCAATCAACACTCTTTTGTGGTGGTACATGCAGAACACGGCGAAATAAGTGATTGGGGGAGGGGGCAAGAACTGCCTTCTCTGATCTAAACTGATGCTGTTTTCTGGATCATGCTCTCCATACAGTTCCCAATGATCTAAAATGCCGATGAATGAAAGACAGATCTTCGTTTCTTTTCACCGAACAGCCTAGAATATGAAAAAGCTAAGGTAGACTAGAAATAAAACACAATTCCGAAAGGGTTTTAAACCAGATTTAAGTTTTTTTTTTTTTTTTTTAATTCAAATTGACCCAAAGCAAAACTTACATTACAAAGGAAGAACAAAATACATTATGATATAACACTAGGAGTTACATGAAAGCTAAATTTGTGGGCAAAGGGCCTCATCCCAATCACATTCTGGGCTACTGAGCAAACCTGCAGGGAAGTTAGAATCTGTTTGCATACGGTCCACTCTGGTAATGAAACTATACATTCTTGTCTCTTAGGGTGTGCGTCTGACAAATCACTCTAGACTCCTCAGGCTCCAGATGTGGACTCTTTCTCCTGCCAGAACATTGAATTCTCTAGCGGAAATGCTGTTCCAAGCATGACTGATAATGAATTAAAAAAAAACAAAACAGTCAAGTCCTCCAAACTAACAAGCGTGGATTATTCTGTAGTAAATAGTTTAGAAATATGGGAATTAAATAACCTAAAAAACACTCTTAACTCTGCTGTACATTTATAAACACAAATATTTACACACACAAAAAAATCTTCTGTTTTCAAAAGATGAGGTTGGCAGTTCATTAATGATCATAATCTTTTATGAGTTGGTTTCTTTGGTGTACTTGCCAAATATATTTTTATAAAGGTTTAAGAATAGGTTTAAACAATAAATTCCAAAAGGAACATAGAAGGCTCAGTGACAAATTTGATAATGTTTGGAACACTGTGGTAAAGATTCAGGAAAAACCAATCAGTTGATCTTCTGAAAATACTTGTTCTCTCTACTCATGACGTGACCACAGAATGCATCCCTGCCAATTAAATTCAAATGCGGACCTGCACGTTTGTCCCTGTATTCTACTGGTTACCACCTTTGAGACTGAAGTTTTAGTTGTGGTTGAATAGGGTATGTGATTGGGATTTCACTAACAAAACCAAAACATTCTCTTTAAGCTTCCAGGTAAATCAAACTTCAAACAATAAACAATGGAATTATCCACTTCTTCATTAAATAGAAATTTCAATTCCAGGAAGAGCTCTCATAATTTTTTTCCGAAGTTGCAGCAGCAATACAGAACAAAGAATTTACCTTAATCTGATCTTCTTACTTGGAATTCCCTGACTCAAACTCAGTGGCTAACTTAGTTTGGAAACCTCCAAATGGCTGGGGAAAGAAATCATTTTAATCTACCTGAATAAATGAATACACACGTTTGAGGAAAGAAGCCCTGTGTGACGGTAATGTTAATATTCCTGCTCAGAGTGCAGGGTCCCAGGCGCCCTCCCGGCTCCTCGCCTCCCTAAGGCCTGGGCTTTGAGGGGGAAGTAACACTCAATTCATTTCTGGCCATGCCATGCCCCTGATCCTGCAAGTATGTCTCAGTTCTGACTTGGGCACTGGTTAAAAGAATGAGAACACAGTTGACTTCCAAAAGGGACTCTCTCTCTTGGAAGATGGAGATGACCCATTTCTATCTATCAGGTTCCAGTTAGTTTTGGAATGGTTATAAAACTGGCCACGCTCTCACTGGCTCCCCGCAAAAGAGTCCATGTACCCCATCAGCAATCCCCAAATCATTGTTTCCAAAGCTGCCCGTTCTTGTTCTTCATAAACCTATGCAATGCCTACAGCAGATCAGATACTCCAACACCAAAGCTACTCCGCATCCAAGAGAACAGACTTTGTGCTTGAGAAAATGGCACTGCTGGCTCTCTAAAAAATGTAAAGCCAGAGTAGATTCTTAATTCTTGCTTGCACTTTCCAGATGAAAACGTTTTATACTGAATGACTTAAAACTAGAAATTCAGACAAGAGAAGCCCTTCATCTTGTAAACTTCTGATAACAAATTTATTACTAGTGTGTAAATATTTTGAAATTTCCCAAAGCACTAAGAACAATACTGGGATATTTGAAAAGGTTCTTCTGAAACCAATATGATGACAAATCAAGCACAGAACACATTTCTAAGGGCATCATCATAGATCCCTAATGCTTCTGGAACCTTTCCCGGTGTTACACGTTATCATAACCATGTTTACACTGCAAACGTATGCCCAATCAACCCAGAAAATAAAACGACCGTCCAGAAGAGTTTCACTGTGCATAACCTTAAAATGAATAGGAAATGTTTAATTAGCATAACAGGAATTAACCAGACTTACAACTGCGCACCCATTCGAAACTGTACCCTTTAGAAATCGTTTTTTAAACTGGGAAGAGGAAAAAAAAGAAAAGAAAAAAAGAAAACACCATGAAACCACCCCGAATTATTGAACCGTTAAAGCCAAATGGTTTGACAATATTTTGGGCTATTTTTAGGGAAGACTCTACCACCAGGATATGAAATTTTCTGCTTAAAGTGAACGACAAAGCTTACAATGGAAATTGCAACTGACACACTATGGTTCTGCAATTAAAATTAAAAGTAGCGGTTCCTGTCCTTGTGGGCATGTTGGAGCCGGTTGTGGAATGAGAAACATCAAGTGAAATAATGGATAAAATACACCAGAAAGAGTATTGCACGGAGGCACTGTTTTAAAAACAGAACACACTGGCTTTATAAAGTTATCTTCTTTTTCCATTAATTTTTTTTTTTAAAAGCACGATTCAACTAGAGACAGAAGTTGAGTTCCAATGTCTCCGGGTAGTGTACTACAGTTGTTAAAAAAATAAGTTAAAAAATAAGAGCACACCAACAGGAAAGCAGAGGTACTGGATTTATGTCATCCGAAAGCTACATTAATTAGGAAAGGAACAGTTTGAAACCGCCAATTTGTACTCATTAAAAATGAATGAGGTGACAGCATTACTTTAAAAATTTCTTCGGGCATTTTCCAGTAGAACCCAGGGTCCCCCCCACCCCCCCACCCCGGGTGGAGCTGTGCCTCCAAACCTTAACAAGTGCTCTGCCGGTTCATACCATCGTGCGCGCCCATGAAACCATAAATTTGGAAAGGGTAAATTCTCCACTTCA